GGTGCACAGAAGAAAGTAATGTCAAAACTCACCAAATGTAACCCAGAGAGAAAACTAGTATTTCATCGCTGATGGAACCAGAACACAACCGCACCCGCCTCCTGCAAATCCTGAGAAGAACAGCAACAGGAAATATGGACAATCTGAACCAAAAACAAGAGGAAAAGCTGAGGGAAAGACCCTCCTCCTGGGACCCGGAAACGATTTCTCAAAAATTATTATTCAGAAAGAAAGAAAGGGGTGGGTGCAGTGGCTCACATCTGCGATCCCAGGCAGGTGGATTACTAGGTCAGGAGTTTGAGACCAGCCTGACCAACATGGAGAAACCCCATCTCTACTATAAATACAAAAATCAGTCGGGTGTGGTGGCAGGTGCCTGTAATCCCAGCTACTCAGGAGGCCGAGACACGAGAATTGCTTGAGCTGAGGTGGAGGTTGTAGTGAGCCGAGATCTCGCTGTCACACTCCAGCCTCAGCAACAGAGCAAGACTCTGTCTCGAAAATAAAAACGGGCCAGGTGCAGTGGCTCACATCTATAATCCCAGCACTTTGGGAGGCCAAGGTGGGTGAATCACGAGGTCAAGAGATCGAGACCATCCTGGTCAACATGGTGAAACCCCGTCTCTACTAAAAATACAAAAATTAGCTGGGCATGAGGCAGGAGAATTATTGCCTGAACCCAGGAGGCGGAGGTTGCGGTGAGCCAAGATTGTGCCACTGCACTCCAGCCTGGGTAACAAGAGCGAAACTCCGTCTAAAAAAAAGTGCGCAAAGTGGCCACTTGGGTCCCTTGGAAATGGTCAGAACTTCTTTATTTCCTGAGCTTCCCCTGGTGAAAAAAACAGAACACATGGAGGCTGCCCCCGCAGGGAGCTCCCCATCACTCGCTTAGCCTGGCTCGGGGCCTTCAAGAGATGCTTCTCATGGCGTCTGGATACATTCAGAATTCAGAAGGCCTTTTCAATAATTTAATTCTTCCGGATACAATTCAGAAGGCCTTTTCACTTAACTTAATTTTCATTCTGCAGGTGAGAGTCTCTTGGGGCCAGCTGCAGAGTGTCTGCAGAATATTACGGAAATTCGCATTTTGAGCCAAGGAAAGGTAGCATTAAAAACAAGACAGAAAGCACAGAAGGCCAAAGGCATCTGACTAAATGAATCACAAACAGACGCGTCCCCTTGCTTATCTGTGTGACCATAAATACAAAGCCTCAAAGCCTGGCCTTCAGAAGCCTCTGTTGTGTCTTTATTATAGCGGATGACAGCGACCTGTGGCCCTCCCTGAAAGGCAGCCAGATTTCAGGCTCTGCTGGAACAGGACAGATGGTCAGAGAGAGGCTTCTGCTGCAGAGCCATCCAAATATCAGAGGCTGGAGGCGGTCCAGGCTAGGGCATTTCTTTTGGAGGTGACTAGGGAGAAAGAAGCAGCAAGCTCTTGGTGGGGGGGCGGTGTTTGGCGTTTGAGACAGCACGGAGACCCGGGTTTCTCTTGCTTCATGATGCCAAAATCCCTAGCGAGCTGAAGCATCCCCCTGCTTCTCTGAGAGAGCCCCAAGGTCCTCCTGCTTGCCTTGACCTAGGGTCCATTCCCTCCCTCGACCCCAGCCCAGGACTACAGCCATGGAAAAAGAAAGTGCTGACTGGGAGACAGTCAGTGGCATATGGGGGTTGGGGGACAGGGGGAGAAAGTGTCAGGGAAGGGTCCCTGGGTGGGTAGTTCATGCAGAGGCATGAACTTTGAAGCTCATATGAAGTGTTGCAGAGGCAACACTTTGAAGGTGATGCTTCCATGGAGAATGGTTGCATTTTTCCTCATGCTTCTACAGTGCAATTACATCGCTGGGGTGTTGCTGGCTGAAAAGAAACAAAAAAGAAAAAATTTATCCTCCTTATATGCAGGTGTGCAAGGTCAGACTGTCAGTTTTGAAGACACGCATCACTCACACAGCTGAGCCGGTCCCTGGGGTGCAGGTTTCTGACCTAGGGGCAAAGGTGGCCTAGGAAGGGGTGGGCATGGCGGCAGGGAGGGGACAGCTCAGAGCCCCAGGCTCAGCTGGCTGCACAGCAGGTGTGCCGGGCCAGAAATGGGCCAGTAGATGGCACAGGGTTTTGTAAACCAAAATATAAGTTTTCGGGAGGCCGGGATGGGCGGATCACTTGAGGTTAGGAGTTCAAGACAGACTGGCCAACATGATGAAACCCCATCTCGACTAAACATACAAAAATTTGCCAGGCTTGGTGGCGGCACCTGTAGTCTTGGCTACTCAGGAGGGTGAGGCAGGAGGATCCCTTGAACCCGGGAGGTGGAGGTAGCAGTGAGCTGCGATCATGCCCCTACACTCCAGCCTGGGTGATAGAGTAAGACTCCACCTCAATAATTGAGTAAACAAATAATAAAATTCTAAGCCCACCCTCCCCGCCAGTCCCACCTTCAAAACCATCTGAGCGGACTTTCTCCTCAGCCACACAGCTTTTAAAGTTTAACCAGAGAGACCGTTTGAGGCGGTGATAGGAAGTGAGGTGGAACATGCCTCATGACACCTCTGTGGTGAAAGAAACCGTTTTACAGCCTCTTCTCTCTGACGCCTGGCAGCTGAAGGCTGCCTGCTGGAATAAGAACTTGGGTCTCCACAATCGTTTCCCTTCACTCATTCCTTTCCATTGATCCCAGGTCTTTAGAGAAAACGCGAGCAATTGTCAATCAGAAAGTTCTACAGTCTACCTACAAGCCAGAAGCCCCGCTGCTTCCAGTCGCCCTGCTTTTCTGGATAAACCAACATGCATGTTAAATGTATTCGATTGCTGTCCCATCCACGCCTCCCTAAAATGTGTAAAACCAAGCTGCGACCCGACCACCTTGGCACATGTTCTCAGGACCTCCTGAGGGCTGTGTCACAGGTCGTGGTCAATCCTATTTGGCTCAGAATAGATCTTTTCAAATATTTTATTTTGAGATGGAGTCTCACTCTGACACCCAGGCTGGGTGCAATGGCCTGATCTCTGCTCACTGCAACCTCCACCTCCCCGGTTCAAGCTTTTCTCCTGCCTTGACTTCCTGAGTAGCTAGGACTACCGGTGCAAGCCACCACATGCAAGATGGGGTTTCACCACGTTGGCGAGGCTGGTCTCGAACTCCTGACCTCAGGTGATCCGCCTGCCTTGGTCTCCCAAAGTGCTGGGATTACAGGCCTGAAGCCACTGCGCCGGGCCTAGCTGGACTCCTTTCGCGGGCAGTTTGAAGGGTGGAATGCAAGGGAGGGATGCTTCTCAGTCTGCAAAGTTGTTCCGCTGCCCCTCAGGAAAATGGCTAGCATTGTATAGGCTTAGGTGTTCACAGAAAGCAGATTGTTAGTGTGGGGAGGCCTGCAGTGCAGCTGTGGCCGGCGGCGCGACTGGGGATCTCCAGACTCAAAGGCCATTGGAAGGCGAGTCGCCAACGCCCAGGGCTAGGGCCCAGGTGCCCCAGAGACTGAGACGGCCGATGGAGTTCCCTATTGTCCCCCACTAATCCCCATGACCAGGAGTCCTCACTCCCAACCTTGTCCTGGGTTTTTTTTGGGGGGGTGGTTAAACTGCCTGAGCGCAGAGGCACCTCCAAGGGTCCTGTTGGTCTTGTGCAAAGGGGGTGTCCGCCCCCGCCCCCGCCAACCCTCCTGGGTTCCGCCCCAGCTCGGATGCGCCAGAAAGTACATGGGGTGGGGGTGGGTTGCCTGTGGAGGCGGCGGGGGCCCACGCCTTCCTGAGCAGGGAGGGAATTGCTCTTTGCTCCTCTTGGGGACCCCCCATCCTCCCGAGCAGCTGGGAGGGGACCCCATACTTTTCCAGCAGGGGAGCCTGGAGAGTGTCCTTTGCAGAGCAGGGGAAGGTCTCTGTTAGGGGCGGAGAAGGGGCTGCAGGGGCGAGTGTGGAGGGCTAAGAGGCACCTCCAAGGGTCCTGTTGGTCTTGTGCAAAGGGGGTGTCCGCCCCGCCCCCGCCAACCCTCCTGGGTTCCGCCCCAGCTCGGATGCGCCAGAAAGTACATGGGGTGGGGGTTGCCTGTGGAGGGCGGCGGGGGCCCACGCCTTCCTGAGCAGGGAGGGAATTGCTCTTTGCTCCTCTGGGGACCCCCCATCTCCCGAGCAGCTGGGAGGGGACCCCATACTTTCCAGCAGGGGAGCCTGGAGAGTGTCCTTTGCAGAGCAGGGGAAGGTCTCTGTTAGGGGCGGAGAAGGGGCTGCAGGGGCGAGTGTGGAGGGCTAAGTGTTCCAAGAAGCGCTGTAGTTTCGCTTCGCTGCAGTTAGAGGCGTGCATTTTAGGGGGTGTAGACAGGGAGGGACCCGCACTTTCCCAAGCTGGGGGCAAAAGTTTCTTTTGCTGCCACTAGAGACAAGTGTGTGGGGGTGCGAGTGTGGGGTTGGGATGGGGGTGGGTGATGGGGGTCCTTGTGAAAGGGGCGGAGAAGGGGCTGCAGGGGCAAGTAGGGGGGGAGTTATAGGTTTTCAAGAAGGGCGGCAGTTTTGTGTTGCTCTAGTTAGAAGCGTGCATTGAGGGAGTGCAGGGAGGGAGGGGCCCCCCACTTTGCTGAGCAGGAGACTTGGGAGCTTCTTTTGCCCCCACCACTGACCAGGGGGCGAGGAAGTCCTCGTGCAAGGGGCGGAGAATAAGCTGCAGGGGCGAGTCGGGAGGGGATTTGGGGGCTACAGGTTTTCAAGAAGCGCGGCAGTTTGTGCCACTATAGTTAGGGGCCTCCCTGGGGCGTGCAATTACGGGGATGCAGACAGGTGGGGGACCCGCACTTTCCTGAGAATGTTGGATTTCTCTTGCTCCGGGTCGGCGCCCCTGAGGGTCCTGGAGACGGGGCTCGCGGATGTGTGGACTCCACGGTTGCTGGGAAGGGAGCGGGGTGTCCAGTGCTCCCTCGTCCGCCTCCTTCTCGGTCCCCTCCCCCGGCCCGGCGTTCCCGCCCTCCTAAGCGCGCCGAGGCCGGGGTGGGGCGGGGGCCGGGCGGGCGCGGCCGGGCTGAGCCTGCGGGGCGGCTCCCCTCACCCGCCCCCTTCGGGTCCTTCCGAGCTCCGCCCTACACGGCCCAGGGGTGCCAGTCTCGCTGCCGCCGCTACCGCCCGCGCGCTGCACTCGGGAGAGCGTCCCTGCGCGCACTGGGCGCACCATGGCCCGCGGGTCCGCGCTGGCGCTGCTGCTGCTCCTCGGCCTGCTCGGCGCTTTGGTGGCCGCCCCGGGTGAGCCAGCGGCGGGATTCGGGTGCGGGGGGGGGGGACTCGTGGGGCGCGGGCCGGGCCTGGGGATCCGCTTGCGGGTGCGGAATTGGGGGGCGCCCCGAGGGGGACACCGGGACCCCCTCCCTAACCGCGGCGGGACGCGCTGTGGCCAGGGGGGCCCAGGCATGGAGGAGGCGCCCACTTTCTCCCCAGTTCTCTCCTGGGGCCGGGTGGGAGTCGCATTCCAGAGGGAGAAGGTCAGCGTTTGTTGTCGGAGGCCCAAACTCTTAATTTGGGGGTGACCTTGGGAGAGGTGGCTTTCATTCTTCCTAATCCCGGCGACTTTCTAACGGATCTCTCTGCCCGTTGGCATCAGCCCCTGACCCCACCCCGCTCTCTCCCCTCGGGGGTCTGGGACTTGCGTCTTTAGGCCGCGCGCGGAGGCCGCCCCGGAGTCGCCTCTCGCAGCCACGCCCTGCGTCCCGGGCTAAAATTGGAATCGCTGGGAGCCCGGAGGATGGGGGGAGGGGAAGGAACAGTTGGAAACAAACTTTGAGCCCTGAAAACCGTTCAAAACTCCGGTGTGGATGCAGGCCCGGGAATTTCTGAAAGAAAACGCGTGGTTACCAGATTGTCCATGTGTAGCGCTGGAGAGTTGGGAAAACAGAAAAAGTATCCAGAGACGGGGGAGCCACGGTCACCCTCCCGCGCCCTAAACAGGGCCTCGTTCTGGTTATTATTTTCTGGTGGTTTTTCTGTTTCCCTCGCGTCGAAAGGAAAACGGGGACCCGCTGGGTGTGATGTGCTATCAATTCCACTAGACGGTGCGTTTCTGCCCCTTCCTGTGGGCAGGCTTTTAAGGAGAGCGGCTTGCAGGCAGTGTAGACTTGACCAGCTTATCAGGGCGGACAAACTGAGGAATGAGAGGCGGGAACGCCCAGCTCTGGGAGGGCAGAGGAGGCCCGGTTTGTGCCGCGAAATTTCCTGCTGGTGTTCATAGGGTCGCGCTCAGCCCGGAGCTGCGGTGACGAGGCCTGGTCTCTGTTTGTAGGGAGGAGCTGCTAATGGGTTTACACGATCTTTATTTTATTGTATTTTTTTTGAGACGGAGTTTCGCTCTTGTTACCCATGCTGGAGTGCAATGGCGCGATCTCGGCTCACCGCAACCTCCGCCTCCCGGGTTCAGGCAATTCTCCTTCTCAGCCTCCCGAGTAGCTGGGACTACAGGCACGCACCCACCATGCCCAGCTAATTTTTGTATTTTTAGTAGAGACGGGGTTTCACCATGTTGACCAGGATGGTCTCGATCTCTTGACCTCGTGATCCACCCGCCTCGGCCTCCCAAAGTGCTGGGATTACAGGCTTGAGCCTCCGCGCCCGGCCCGCGCGTCCCGGGTATCCTGGAAATTGCGCTTTCCCTTGGTGGAGCTGACAGTGTGGCTGGCTCCGTTTTGTAAAACTTGAGGCGTGTACAGCCCGCAGGGAGGTCCAAAGGCGGCTTCCTGTTTCTCTTTTTTCCTTAGCAGGGAGGGCTCTGCGGGTTTGATCAGCGCATCTGCTCCCAAGGCACCTGCAGAAGGGCGTTTTCACTCGTCTCGCTAACGCATGTCTGTCCTTCATGCATTCATTCATTCCCTCCTTTGCAGCTGCCGTGTGCTTGGGGCAGGAAATATATCCAAAAGAGTTCTGGTGTCTGAAGAATTTAGTTTCCAGGAGAAGAGAGGCATCCAAACAGGCGGACAGGACACACAGGGCGACAAGGACCGCTATGGTTCCATCACGAAATAACTCAGGCGTTCCAAGTGGTGGAGCTTGATGAGGGCCTTGGCTGGGTTTTGAAGACCTGGGGACAGAATTGCCAGCTGGTCCGGCTTTACAGGTCAATGGAGGAGAGAGGGGGCTAAAGCCTTATCTTCTCTGAGCTCACAACAAGGCGTTGCACACTTTTTAATCCCGCAGTAGTGTTCATCTGGAGCTCCCTAGTTTTGGAAGCAGACTGGGCTTAGGAGCCTGAGACGGCGGAGACTTCGCGTCCGGGGAAGGGTGGCTGCACAGGGTTGGGTGGGTGGTGAGGGCGGCAGACAGGCAGATAGCAGGGGCCAGTCTGTCCTTCCAATCGCAGAGGAAAGCCGGGCCCTCAGCACTGCTGGATGTCCTTGGGGGACCCTGTCACCCCCGCTTTCCAGTGCCACCCTACTAGAGATGGAGATGGAAACCCCCTGTCCCGGTCATATTAATACACGTGTTGTTTCATCAGGAAACTTCAACTTTGAGTTGGTGATGCTCAGAACGCACTTTTCCTGCAGCAGTATGCATCGGGCTGCAAAACCCCACGGAGCCTAGGGGGAGGGTCTCTCACAGAGGCCGACAGCCCTGCCTGATCTCAGCGTTTCGGGGAACCAGGCCCGAATGGCAGTTCGGGCTGAGATCAGGCAGGGCTGTCGGCCTCTGTGAGATGGGATGGATGGAGCTGGGGGAAGGCTGCAGAGGAAACAAGGAGGCACCAGCTTTATAGAGGAGCAGGACTTCCCAGGGTGACGTTGGCCCTCAGGAGACCCTTTGCCAAGGTTGCAGACAGTTTTGGTGG